CGATTCTTCAGTTCCCATGTTTGTCCATCGTGGTGCCTTGTTCATAATGAACTGAGTACTGGATATCTTGTCGTATGGTGTTGTTTTTTGAGCTTGTATGGTCCACTCGCCCATTATTTAAATCCAAGTTCTGCGGTGCTGACGAGACTGTCGCTGTGTTTTGGAGTGCTTCAGGCCTCAGTTTCATCTGCGCGCTTCGAGGCTCAAATCTAGATGGGGGCAGAGCTGTCGTGTCAGACGACATCGTGTCCATAGAGATCTCAGGCGCATCCGGGCGAGATGCCTGTTTGCGTGAAGCTTTCGCTTTCCCTGAAGCAACACCACGACCCGACAGCTTGTATCCTTGAGATGGGGCATGAATCCGCATAAGCTCGCCATGACCGAAACCAGTGTTGAGCGACTCTGTGAACCGCTTGAGCGCAGCGAGCGTCGCGGCCGCTAGAGAGTATGATAGTTCCACAGCCTGCCAGATGACCACTGTGGCTGCCGTGAGAGAGACATCAGATGTAGTCGTAAGTTGATGTATCTCATTTTGGCGAAGAGCAGAGAAGATTAGGGTTCTATCGCGTGATCAGCTAATACAAAAGCACTGCTGGCGAGCGGTACGTACGGTAGTCGGAGCCAAAATGACGATATGACGATGAGTTTGGTTCGGAAAGCCATACGTAGACCCCACACCAACTGAATGGGCAGGAAGAGCAGGAGGACCTCGGTCATGACGTCCAGAGCTGTGAGAGCAACCCATCGTCGCTCACTCTGGGCGCATTCGGAGTACACGGAGCTGATGTCCCACGCAAGCACACGGTGGGCCGAGCAGTCGACATTCAGAAGGAGGACAGATGTGAGACATTGAGCGACGATTATGGCGCTTACGCCGTACTGAAATCTTCTGTGGAAACTCGTCTGTGTCGTGCGCAATAGCATGGCAACGATGGCAATCTTAGAGACGCATAGGGATATGACCCATAGGATGTTACCAGCCGTTGCGTAGTTATTGAGTTTCTCCATAGCGGATGAGAGAGTAGCCAGCTCGGTCATAGGGCGCCCGAGTCCAGTAGAGATGGACGCAAAAACGACACCAAAGAAACTAAGCGCCAACACCTATTCGCATGATTGTCAGTAACGGCCTCTCGTCGTGCTCAAAATTGTTATGAATACACCGAGATGTACTTACCCCTGATACTAGCACGATCAGATCGTCGAGACTGAAAGCTCTCCATCGAATATAACCTCGAAGGCATGCTACACATAGTGTGTAGCATAAGCAGAGACTGATGGTGAATTTCAACGTAGCTGCACGTCCTGGGCCTCGTGCGATTGCTTCCTCGTCATGATCCGCCATGATACTGCTCGTGAAAAGCACGCGAGAACTGCTCGGTAGCCTTAAGTTCCCACGACAGGGCGTTAGCACACCCGTGTGGGTCGTGGCGTCGTCTCCAAAGCTGCGGCGCGGACAACCGTCTCATCTTATCACCGTACCCTGACTCGAACTTCGCTGTTTGTCCAACGGCGAAACCAGCTGGGAACTGTTTTGTTCTGTGCGCAGTGAATGTATCACATCACCCCTTGAGCAGGCGCGTGGACCGTGTTGCGGCTCTCCCAGGACCATTCGTACGCATTTAACTCATGGCTGGGATCGGGTTCCGATAGGCATTAAATCCTTCAAACCTGTAGCGCTCTTTGGCTAGAATGTGGTGCATCCCTCCTGTTGCTGATTGCATGCGCTGAAGTGGGTGTAGATCGGAGAGGTCATTACGGGGTGCCTTGAACCTTGTCAATAATAGGCTGCCCCGTGACGTGCCAGAGCTTATCGCTTCTCAACAGCGTGCCTGACTGCAGCATTTACCGCTCGGCACTTGATCGTACATAGACTGCTGTACTTCAGCTAATCAACTCTTGTAGCTAAGAGTGATCAAGTTGACTACCTACAGTTGCTTTCCTCGACCTCTCGACGCTCTGACAGAGGAGAATTTGCGCACCTGCCCATGCCAGACTCCTACGACCGCCGATCTGCGACACCACCAGGCTGTAGCTAGCCTTTTTGACGATGAAAGCACGGTAGCACGCAGATGCAGGTTGTGACAGCGAACGTGTTGATTGGTGCGCGGTTCGGGGCCCCGGGAGGTGTGTGGTGCTGCGGAGCAAGCTTGGACGATAGACACCTCGGCTGTTTGATTACGGGCGAGGCGTGTTTATGGTGGCCACGGAACGGCCCTGGGAGGGTCCTTCTCCATGTTCCCTTCGATAACACATACCCTCTGCATGCTCCATCAACGAGTCACCGGTCGGCTATTTGGCCTCGCGACACCAATAGCATGATGCACGACGGTCAAAGAGCATCAACAAATCGAACCTTTCCAGTACCTGATAAGCTTACGCTTGAGTCGCCTTATTATGAATACATGGTATGGTGTACATGAACCAACACAAGACATTGCACAGGCCCCCACGGATATCATGCATTAGTGTCCTTGCGCAATGCGCACGGCTCGAGAGCCCTGTAGTTTCAAGCCGCTCGTCCAAGGCCATCTCCTTAATTACTCATGGCTGATTCGTCAAAGCCTGTCACGACCTCAATGGCACGCCACATAAAGCGGTGATGGGCCCAAGAACGGCAGCTAGTTCCTAGCTCTAGGCACGGCTTGCAATCAACGTGTATAGTGACGGCTGTAAAGTTTGCATCTAGATCGCTTAAGCAGCGTCTGGGACGAATTCCCCCACTGCACCTCCCTCTTCTTTCAGGACATCCCTTACCTCCGTTGATGGCCGTTGTTCTGTAGTCACGTACTTTGTACCATGGCAGTCGTCGGAGAATCGAAGATTGTGAATGCAGAGGAGTACGACACAGGAAGCAATGGATCCGGCGAAGCGGGTAGGATGCATGCCAGTGCTATGGGAGGCACAGCCCACGACGCCGAGGACATGCAGCGGATGGGCAAGAAACAAGAACTCCGGGTAAGCCCTTATTGCGACGTATATGCAGGAACTCTACTAAGTGTTCAATTAGAGAAATTTTCGCCTGATTTCCATCATTGGGTTCGTGGTTGTCCTACAGTCAACATGGGAAAGTGCTCTACTGTAAGTTCTTGTTCCTGTGTCGATCTATCCCCTGCTAAGTATAAGCAAAGTTCAGCTTATTTTGGGCTATTCAATGGAGGCACAGCAGGAGTCATCTGGATGATGATTATCACATGGGTGTTCGTCCTAGCCATGATTGCGTCGCTTGCCGAGATGGCCTCCATGGCCCCAACTGCCGGTGGACAATACCATTGGGTCAGCGAGTTCGCTCCGCCATCATTCCAAAAGTCCCTTAGTTACATCGTGGGTACGTAGTTGAATGGTCTAAGCATCTAAAGTCTCGTACTGACACCATGTTCAGGATGGGCTGCGGCTGTCGGCTGGGTCAGCGGGATACCCGCCTGTGCACAAATGCTTTCGAGTCTCGTCATCGGAATGGTCCTCCTCGCGTACCCTGACGCCCAGATTGGAGAACTATGGCATGTCACACTGTTGATGATGCTTTGGCTGTTCCTCATGATCGGTTTCAACATCTTCTTGGCGCAGCATCTTCCCCTCGCTGAAGGTGTTGTGCTAGTCTTGCATGTCTTTGCCTTCTTCGCGTTTCTGATTCTATTCTGGACCATGGCGGAGCGTCTTCCAGCGGAAGAAGTTTTCACCACTTGGACAAATGGTGGAGAATGGAGCTCGATGGGCGTGTCTGCTCTGGTTGGCCTCTCAACCCCATTGTGGTGTTTTATTGGTCCAGACGCGGGCGCGCACATGTCTGAGGAGTTGAAAAACGCCTCCGTGGTGCTTCCGAAAGCTATGATGTGGGCTGTTTTCTTCAACGGCATCTTCGGGTGCATCATGGTAAGCACGCCTGGACTACTTTGGATGAGAGGCAAATACTGACTACATACGCTCATTTTAGATGATTACCTTCGTAATGTGCGGCGGTGCTCTTGATTCGGTTCTCGAATCGCCGACCGGACAGCCTGTACTTCAGGCCGTTTACAATGCGACAGGCTCTATCGCCGGCACTGAGGTCATGGGTGCTCTTCTCGTCATCCTCGTCTTCTTTGCAGCCGTATCCGTTACTGCTGCTTCTTCGCGCCAGATCTGGGCATTTGCACGCGACAGGGGACTTCCGTTCTCTGCATGGATCGAGCGAGTGCCAGCCGGCTGGGACATTCCCGTCAACGCGCTACTTGTTTGTCTCGGATCCTCGCTCGTGCTCGCATGCATCAACTTCGGATCGGACGTTACGTTGAACGCCATCGTCTCCATCTCGAACGCAGCTCTCATCTTCTCCTACATCATATCGATTGGATGTGTGCGCTTGAAGCGTTGGCGAGGAGAGCCTCTGCTCCCTCGACGCTGGAGCCTGGGCAAGTTTGGAGGCATCGTCAACGACCTTGCTCTTGCCTTTTTGGTCGTTTCCTTCATCTTCTCATTCTTCCCGATAGTGCCAAACCCTTCGGCTACGGACATGAATTGGGCGGCGCTTATGTTTGGCGCGATGGCTATCATTGCAACGGTCAACTATTTCGTCAGCGCACGGAAGAGTTACATCGCGCCTGTTTCGCTTGTTAAACAAGACTAGACGGTGGATGTATCATGTTAGCAGTCATTCAAGACCATAGGTAGACAAAAGTATCCACAGGCTGCCTACCATGTTCGCTCGGAACGAATTTTGTTCTGAACCCTTATCCCTAATCCCTTCTTGGACTAGCGCTGTTGTGGTCATTCCCTCACGAACACCCATCTTGCATCCCCAATTCCTGAACGCGATATTGAAGGCTCAATCACATTTATAGGCCTCGATAACCTTGAGATCTACGTATACCTTTTCCCCTCTGTCTGAGACCCTTCCAAAACATTTCTTTCCTTTTTTCGTACGCGATGGTGCGGGGTATGCAAATGTGAATGGTCGTTCTATTTCCACCCGCGCAGACACTTTCAACTTTACGCCTGGAAGATTGGTAGAGCTCACGACTACAATGTCTCAACCTTTGAAAGAAACCGACATCCTGTTTCCGCACCTTTCCAACACACCAAATCTATCCAGCACCCTCTCTTCTCTACGCCGCTCAACACTATCAACGCACAACCGCCTTAATTCAATCATCTCCGACAGCGATTTCGTCAGTTCAGTCGCATCTGCCTACGATCTACCTCTCATAGCCAATGAACGTTGTGGAAGCTGGTATATTCCGCCAACTCAAAAATCTGGATCTGTCTACTTCAAGAGCACGGACGGTCACATGGGCGAATGGAGCTTCAGTCTGAGAAGACTGAATCTGCAACTGTTGGATATTGTGGAAAAGTTTGGCGGCGCCGTGGTTGTGGACAGCACGAGGAGGGGCAAGAGCATGCCGGACGCGCTGAGCAAAACCATCCCGACATGGTGCTGTGTGATCAACAGGGCTGTATTCGGCACACCTCGGAAAGACGAGATGCGATTGTTTACGCCGCCACAAGCCGTGGGAGAAAGCGAGCATGCGCAAATGGAGAAGAGGATAGACGGATTTGTGCAACAATTCCTGGTGCGTGTCTTATCTAGGCATTTCCGCACATATTCGCTGATATCGAGACAAGGATATCTGCAAACCTAACATCGTAGACCTTCGCAGTAAGCTGAAAAAGCCCCTGCGACCAATCTGGGTAACACAGCAATCATCTCTTCCGGATAGTCCGCCTTGTTTCCCCGACTTTCACCCGATCGTGCTCTGTACAGCATCGCGACGAGTACGTGGTGCGGAGGCATCGGAAAGCGGGTATATCCAGGGTGCTGCCGATGACCACGAAGCATGGTCTCATGGACTCACGCCGACAGTCTTCTGGAAGAACAAGGACGTGCTGATGAAGACGAGCGAGGAAGATGCGCCGGCTCTGATCGAAAGATTGCTCAACGAAGACGGAGGTAGTAGCGCGGTCGCAAGTCTGATCAAGCCAACGTCCAGACTGTACATCTCTCCTAGTGACCAGATGAAGCTCGACGGATTCGATGTTGTAATCAGTTGTACACCGGAGCCCTTCGCCCCTTCGATGCTAAAAGACGCCGGAGTCAAACACTACTTGCACCTCAAATGCCAAACCGGCAAACTGGGCTCGCGCGACCTCCGCACTCAACTGCCCCGAATTTTGAATTTCTTCTCGTCCCTGTCAGAACCAATCACCGGAAAGATTCTCGTATGCTGCCCAACAGGCAAGGATCTATCCGTCGGTACCGCCTTAGCATTACTATGTCTCTACACAAACGAGGAGGGAGCGATAGATACGAGCACGCCAAAGGAGACAAGTGCCATCGGAAAAGCCTTCATCAAGCAAAGGCTCAGTTGGATAACAACAAGCAACCCCGCGCTAAACCCAAGTCGAAGCACACTCCAAAGCGTCAATGCCATCCTGCTAGAAAGCCAAGATCCAAAAGCTTCCTTGCAAACCAAGAGTAACGGCACGGACACTGGTATCACCACCTCAATACCAATCCGAGAAACAAGACCCCTACCACAAGAACCACAAACAGACGACTCTTCCGAGACCGAAAAGCAGAAGCCCAGCTCTCCTTCGCTGCCTACCTCCATCTTCGAAAACCTACGCAACTCCCCCGACAAACCATGGAGCTTCACCCGTCAACTCCGCTCTACCCTACCGACGCATCCCTCGGGCAAAGTGACAGGAACAGCGACGTTCACGTCCTGCAAACTACCAGCCTCCTTTCCACCAACTCTGCTCTATGCCGAAGAAGGCGAGTTTGCAACAGACACGGGTCTCAAGTTCAACGCACGCAGGAAATACGTGTACCAACTCAAAACGTCGACACCAGAAAGCACAGGCGAGAAAGCAGGAGGAGACTACATCGCCGTCCGCTTCTTCGACGATGAGAAGATGCCGCGCGCGGATATTAAGGATGGCGTGGGGAGAAACGGGGAAGGAGTCGGGGGGTCATTCGTCGACATGGGTAATTTAGAGGCGAGTGGAAAGGAGGTGAAAGCCAAGAACAAGGAAACGCATCTTTGTGCCGAGGATTTGTATACGGCTAGTTGGACATTCGGAGCAGGTGTTGTCAACGGGGACACGGAGGACATGTGGTGGGAAGTGCGATACGATGTCAAGGGCCCAAAGAAGGATTACGTGAGTACCACGAGGTACACCCTCATTTGACGGACAGAGAAGAGATGAATATAGGGTATCAAAGCCGATCTACATAACACAAACGACCACGCGCCAGACACTGCGAAACAACATGTTTACCGCCAAGTAAAGAGTTTTCTGATTTCATGACTTTGCTCCCGTCACTTTCGTTACAAGATTCGCAATCTTGAGGAATACATTCACCACGAGCGCAAGCGCGGCGCTCGGGACGAGGATTTGTAGCCACTCGTACCACAGCTTCGGTCGGACGTCTGTCTCGATCCAGCCAGCGCCTTTGAGCGGTGGTCCGCCGTTGATATTGGGTGTCTCGCCCTCGTCGGCTGGGAAACGCTGGTTTTCGAGGAAGTATTGGAGCAGATGGTCCTTTTCGCGCCATCGGGCAAGGAGCCAGTCGCTGAAGAGCTTGTCGTCGTGGAGGGGAATGTCGGCGATGGCGAAGCGGCGCCAGTACATGTTTACGGACTTTGGGGGGCGTCCTTGGAAGTAGGTACTGTAGAGGGTGAAGAGGTCTTGGCCATATTGGCCGGCGCTGTTGTGTGTTAGTGTCTGAAGATTCCGGACGGTAGGCTAGACTTACGGAACGCCCTCGTATGCCATTGTGCAGTCGTAGAGGTAGTCTACGGAGCCTTGCAGCTCTTGCAGACAAAAGGAAAGCCCTGTGCTTCGCGGCAGCAGTGCATGTCTTAGATCCTCAATCTGGTTCTTTTCTGCCCATTTCTTGCTCGAAGCGCGGCCGTTCTTGCTAAGATTGGTGCCTTCGGGGAAGATGAGAAGCCACATGGGGTCGAGACCCTTGGAGCCGGATAGTGGGCCATCGTGACTTCTGCTCAGCTTCCTCAGCCTATGTTGGAAGCGCTCCTTGTCCGTGGACCACTTGCGGGATAGGAAGATGAAGCCGAAGAGCCTCATGCCCCAGCCGAGGATTGGGATGTATTTGAGCGACTCCTTGAGGATGATGTAGAGGTGGCCGTGCATGGACGCGCTGTATGCCATCCACCAGAGGTAGACCCAGTCAGTGTAGATCTAGTAGGTGTCAGCTCATTGTTCTGCAGCATGTTGTCTGTATAACCGTACCTGGTGGTTCGAGACGAATACCAGCCTTTCTGGGAAGTCGCACTCGAGCAGTCCATCCTCCTTCTTCCTCATCTGTCCTCGTATGCTCTCGTCTCCACTGACACGCATGGTGACGGGCGCCCACCAGTACGTCATGGTGGTGACGGTCATGCTGAAGTGCTGCTTGGTCATGGCCATCCAGGCGTAGAAGAGGTCCTTGCTGTAGAAGTAAAGCGGCAGGCCGATATATTGGGTGATGGCGATGCTGAGACATGACGTTAGTATCCTATGGGTGGTATTAGCCTTGAGTGTATACGAACGCTATGATGCTGCCGTTGAAGTACGCTGCAAAAAGACACATGCGCAGAAACTGCACGACAGGCCCATGTTTGACCTTGCCGGCTGGGTGTTGGGTTGGATCGGGGAGGTTTGGCGCGGAGGGTGTCTTGGTGCGCTGCGCCTTCAGCTTCTCGATGACGGGCACCGATGCGGGCGGCTTGCGCTGCCGGATGTCTGTGGTGGACATGATGCTCGTGGTGTGGGCAAGCATGGGGAGTATGCAGGCACGTCTGAGGAATATGATAGATAGAGAGAGTGTGAGTGCGCGTGCACGCAGGCGGGCGTGGGCGGATGCTCAGGCGGACGAGGGAACTACGGATACGGCCCAGACATGCGGCGGGGGAGAGTGGGACAGCGCGCTGCCGTCTGCATTGGGCGCCTGGGGGTGAATGGGCGTGCGAGCGTGGTGTAGAGGAGCAGAGGGAGTAATCAGGCCGCAGCTTTCGCGCATCGTGTCTCCGGGCGCTGGAACTTGGTGCTGCCGATCCGCAGCTTTCCCTCGAGCATGATGACAGCACGGCGGTTCACCCCACCCGTTAGCTGGCCTGGAGCGGGCGCTAGTCATATCCGGACGCGTTCACTCGCAACTTTCACCTCTTCAAATGTTCCACCGCTGCATGTGATTATGGAGTTTAGTCGCTGCGCCTGGACTATCTCCGCGCCTTAGCATTCACTCCTCGCCGTCTGGCATGCAATCCCACCAGGCGCCATCCTACCACGGTTCGACTCGTCATCATCCGCTCATATGGCGCCCACTCACCCCTCCAAGCTCTGCGCACAGCTTCGCCTAGCATTTTCGCCCTAGCTTCCTACCCTCCAAATATGTTTGTGCCGCATCGCGTCTTGCCATGGCGCCTCCTGGCTTTGCCGGCCCAGGCACGGAGCTTCTCTTCATCTTTACGACGTCTTGAGATCAGGCAGATTTCAGAGCTTCCCTCGCGCACGACGCCGTCATACGTACAGTCGCCCTCGAATACCCTGCTAAGCCTGCAATGGCCGTCCCCACCGCGGAATATCCTCGTCACCAAGAAGAAGCGCACACCGAACATCACCGAGTCCGTGGTAGAATTCACGTCCCACATACGCTCCACCTACCCGTCGATAAACGTCATCTTCGATCCCGAGACTGCCCAAGAGCTTCACGAGCAGCTTGCGTTCCCCGTATACACATACAAGCAGAGCCAAGGTGCGCCGCAGTACCTTTCGGATAAAACCGACTTGGTCTGCACGCTTGGAGGCGACGGCACGCTGCTGAGGGCTAGCAGCCTGTTTAGCCATGCAGAGAATGTACCTCCTGTACTGAGCTTCGCCATGGGCACCATCGGCTTCTTGGGCGAGTTCAAGTTCAGGGAATACAAGAGAGCCTTTCGGGAGGTGTACATGAGCGGCGCGCCAGACACGTACGCTACCCTCTCCGACTCGCACGGGACGATTCCACCCACACCACCCACATCGCCCGATGACCCTCTGGACAAGCCACTGAGCTACGCCGACATACGAGGCAAGGCTATGGGAAGCAACAGAACAGCGCGCATCTTGTTGCGCAACAGGCTGAAGGTGGGCGTCTTCGGGCCTGATGGAAAGAGAATCAGTGGCATCGAAGGAGAGGGCGACACATACGCGCTGAATGAGGTCACGCTTCACCGTGGCTCCAGCCCGCACCTGAAGATCATCGACGTCTACATCAACAACCGCTTCCTGACCGAGGCAGTCGCTGATGGCATGATCATCAGCTCGCCTACTGGATCCACGGCATACTCGTTGTCCTCTGGAGGAAGCATCGTACACCCCCTCGTACCGTCGATATGCCTCACGCCTATCTGCCCCCGATCGCTTTCCTTCAGACCACTGGTGCTGCCAGCTCAGACGCCAATCACACTGCGCTTAGGCAAGAAGAACCGTGGTCGCGAAGTCGAGGTCAGCATCGACGGAAATACCATTACAGAGAAACTGGGCACGGGTATGGAAGTCCGCATAGGTGGGGAAGAGGTCAAACGAGACGCGCGGGGCTGGGAAGGTGGTGTTCCTAGCATCGTGCGTGGCACAAGTGGCAAGGAAGACATGGCTGAGGACCACTGGGTCGGTGGACTGAATGCTCTCCTCAAGTTTAACTATCCGTTCGGTGATCAGGAGTCTTGAATTTGCTACAACAAACGTCACATGGCTTCAGACCGCGGTGGTCATATCAGCTGGTAAAGACAGCAATCATATCGGCTATACATAAATACCCACATCGCCCCTTCTTCAGCGTCTCACCGAACCTTCATCACATCAACCTATCATGGCTGGACAAAGCTCGCAAGTTCCTACCCAAGCCCGCCAGTATGATACCCCGTCCGGTTTACGTGTAACAGCCGCGCAGATAGGCTTCATCGCCGATGCCGTCATCAGGCTCCAAATAGGTTTCAATATTGACGCTTCAGACAAAGATGCAGGGATCTCAAGAAATCTTCACAAAGAGTGTTGCGACTGGCTTGATGTTTTACACCGCCTTCCCAAGCTGGCGGAAGTGAAGAAAATCGAGCTCTACTGTCAGCCCGCTCTCATTACGCAGTGGATGGAGATGCGGGACAGGTTCGTGGCAGCAATTGGATTTTTTGAGCGAGGGGTCACGAAGGTGGGTGTATGGGAGATTGTACTTCTGAACTAATGTTGATGCTGCTGTAGCTTATCCCATGAAATCACATTGCATTCTCCATAACCAGTTCGCAATGAAGACTGTGAGTATCGTAGTGATACCCAGGTAGAGAAGCACGTAGGAGGTTCTGACCTACCTAGGTAGCTGCATTCATGCTAGCTCGCGCTAGGTCGAAAGATCCCTCAAGCGCTGGCCCGGGGGGTTGGAAACCAAGCTGCGGCATCGACCTTTGAAGAAGTTCCTGCGCCCGTCTCACACGCGCATCGATGTTACGGATTGTTGCCTATTAGCGACCTTTGTTGATGGCGATGGCGGACCAAAACCCCGGCCTGAGCCGACAACAGACCGACGCGACTTTGGAGTACGATTCGAATTGACCTTTCAACGCTCGCCGCCGTGGCTGTTCTTCCACGTTCCAGCGTAATGATGCGTCACTAACTGTGGTGATAGTACAGCTTCCTCTTCAGCGCTGTATCTGTTCGTCATCGGTGCAAAAGAGCGACCGGGCATGAACAGCACATCTCCGACTAGCTTGGGCTGCAGAAGCTTCTCCACGTCACTTCCCGCCAGATTGCGATTCACCATGGCACCCAGACTCTTGTATACCGCATACGTCAGGCGCCTTGGGCCTGTGAAGTCGACTACATCTCCCATCATCTCCATGGTAGTGTCTTCGACGGCTACGCCATGTTCGGCGGTCTTCTTAGCCAGCTCTTCCAAAACGTCATCTATCGCCTGCATCAGATGCGGTGACCGGGGCTTTGCCATGATGGCCCATATCTCCATCTGGTGCAAGTAATTGTCTGGCCACCCATGGTCGAATTCCCAGCCCACAACCAGACTTGTGTTCGCTTTGTACTCCGGTGGAATCCAGTCGTCGATGGGTATGTTCTCACAGGAGACGTCGAGATCGAACCAGATGCCACCTTGATCCCAGAGTAACAAGTAGCGAAGCAGATCCGCCTTCCATATAGGTACTGGAAGCGCAAGGTAGTTGTTGACGATATCCGGCCTCGATGCAAATGCAGTTCGAACATATTCGTCGCTACTTTCGTCTGTCATGAAGTGCGCTTCGTACTCTGGGTTGGACGTGATGCAGCTATCGGTCCAGTTTCGGGCTTCTTCCGAGAGGCCACGAGGACCCAGCTTGTACCATATAACCCTCGGTATGCCTTCATACTTAGGCGCTTGGACGGTTTCCTGGATGGGCAGGGCGATGTCATCGTGGGCGGAGCGAATGGTGTAGATCTGGTATATGAGAAGAAGGACGCACAAGGCAAAGAGCGACTGATAGCTGACGAACTTGAATTGCAGCCTTGCTAACATACTGAATGAGCAGAATGCCGAACGAAAGCTTGCTGTAATGTGTCCAAGTAGAGCGGATGTAGATGCTTCATTATCCACATCGACCTTCATGAGGCTGAACCACGACCGCTGACATTTGAGTCTTTGCAGTCTAGACACCAACGCAAATCTAGGCTTTGTCTTAGACAATCCTTGACAGTTCCGGAAATAGATGGCGCGGATGACCCAGTGCCATGGACCCCACGAAAACGTTCGGTGTCAAGAGGTAGTACAGCATATTCAGCCACGTGCGCAACAAAGAATCCGCATTCCTCAACCAAAGACGGAGGTTTTACTGGCTACCAGGATTTGTTGCTCATTTCGGGGATCCGCAGCCTTACGCCCCACGGTGCGTATACATGCAGATACTTAAGGCCACGACAGGTCTTGGCCCCAGACGGCTGGTGAGGTTGTGTCCTGTCATTCAATGATGGAAAGGGTATGATATGCCTCAGCCCGATTGTAAAGCCCCTAGGGTAATGGTTCATGAGGGATGGCGATGAAGACCAGTGAACGATCAGTGCCAACGACAGGTAACGATCATCGTCCGTGACACGTCGTTTGAGAGACATATCCCAAGCTCAGCCGCATGCACGAGATAACAGTTCCAACGCTGATCAACAGGAGTTCTCGTGCGCAGACCGATGACCTCCAGCGCCACGCTTCTAGCCATGACAAACTCGTCTTGGTATGGGAAAAGCACACTACGCCGCAGACTTTTCTAATCGCCCAGCACTTCCAGGCTGCCGTCGTGACTGTCAGCTCGTAAGCCTCAGGCGTCACTGCACAGGCGCAATCTCAGACTCTCGCCGACTGCTTGAGGTACCGCTCCGACACTTCGCCTGCTTCAATCTTAGGTGCTTACCTCGTTCTGGGTAGCCTGTTCTGCACTCGCTTGAAGCTCACAGACGTTTTCAGACCCGAAGTTCTTTCTACCATCTTTTCATCTTCCAGCAGACGTGTTCTTCTTTTGGTCGTGCTCTAGTCGGATCTTGGGCTACTATAGTTGGACCTTTGTCCATGTCCCAGCGCCCATGGAATTCATCCTCCCACCATCGCTTGATGTCGCACTGGACATGAGCAATGCACTCAACTACACTATAGGCGAAAAGATTACGGTGTATTGGACGGAGGCACCGGCCGGTACTGCAGTCTCTATAATACTGTGGCAAGCAGATCCGAAGACCGGCGTATCGATTAAGAACGTAGAATACATTTTACGTATAGCAAGCTTTCAAAAGTTAGGAGACCACAGGCTAACGATATATAACAGAGAGTGTAGTAAACAGAACCAACCAAGAATGGATTATCAGGCCTGAAATCAACCTCAAATTGTCCAACCTGTTCCAATTGGCGCTCTACCAAGAGGGCGCGACAGAACCAGAAGACTTCAGCCGGTATTTCTACCTTGAAGACAAGACCGAATCGACAACAAGATCGTCCTCGTCGCTTTTGCTTTCCAGCTCACTGAGCTCAGCGTCTACCGCGAGCTCCACATCCTCCGCCACTGCAAACTCGACACCTACTAGTACACCAACGACAACACCACCATCCACACCCGAACGCATACCGATAGCGAGCGCGGCACCGCGCGAGAACAGCTTCCCCACATCAGCCAAAATCGGTATCGGCGTCGGTATACCTGTCGCACTCATAATCGGCCTCGTCGTTGGTTTCCTCCTGTTCCGTCGTCACAGAAAGAAAGACGTCACCCCGTCACCGATGCCTGGCACACAGATCACTGAACAGTACAAGAACGGGCCTAATCCTCATCCATTTAACAACAACTCCGGTTACTACGGCCCTCCTCTGAATGAGGCACCGCCGGAGAGCTTAGTGGAGTTGGATCCACAGCACGCACATAAACCGCCGACCGATGGGGCAGCGCCGGCGAGGTACGAGATGTAATTCTGAGGATCTTCATGAGAGCAGTGCATTGTTGGGCACGCTGGGAGGAGGCATTAATCTACTGCAAATGTGCCTTTTCACTTGTTGTCAGCGATCGTATTATCATCATTGCTGTTCTTGTAGCATATTCCACCTAACGTTAAGTCTCCTCGTCCAACATACTAAATAAATCATCTACACCCCATGCCAGCGACTTGACATCGGCGAACAGCCTTACCGACTTAATGGAACCGTCAGCAGTTGGTGTACCGTAACACTGTGCTTATTTCCGCCCTCTTGGTGGCGTACAACAGAACTTCCACGACTTGCTTGGCCGCCTTACCGAGTAACGCGTTGCTCACCGGTCCGTTCTCGACGTCCGGGAACGCCACTAGCGCCCAATGTTTTTCCGTGTAACAATGACTGCATGGGCGGAAATTAGATCGACCTAAGCCCCACCACATGTGTTTGAGCTTGGGTTGAGTATGCACTGTATCACTGCAACTCGGCCGCAGTTTAAGTCGGGCGTAAAGGAAAAGGCTGGGTTAGTTGGATGCCCGGAATCACGACAGCGGGGCGATATGACCAGGCGCTGTGCATGTCGTTTTCCGATGGACCGCACAGCACTGACTAACGGACGGGTTTCAAGTGATGTGGCTTGCATTGGGGGCTATGTAAAAGCAAAAGCACGTGCTATGGACGGTAGAGGAGGATGGGATCGGGAGAACAGGCTGAGCCGACGTGCGCTTGAGAATAACCATAGCTTCCAGGAGGCTCAGACACAATGGAACAGGTATCTTCATGGCGCCATGAGAATAACAAGTGAACACAGGTATAGCAAACGCGATGACACAAGAAACTGGGTATGAGAAACCAAAGACCACAAGGCGAGTCAACCGCGCCCTTATCACGGCACCTCAGTGCAGCCTTACATCAAGCCACCGCATGACGAGATCCCCAGAGCGAGTACATAGGAAGCGGTTCGGGCCGCTTCGTATCGGTAGAACGCTGAGGGCAGGGGTATTCCCATTTGACGTCCTCGAATGGCCCCGCCACTGCAGAGTCGGTTCTCGCCAGGGTATCTGTATCAGATGCTTTGATGGATTCGAGCTCGATGCCCTCATCAACCTCGTTATCCTTTGACGTGTTTGTGGTTCGATCGGCTTTTCTGATGCAGGCCATGAGCAGCAACATGAGGAGGATATAGCCGAAGAGACTCGTGGTCCAGGCGAGGATGATGGTGCTGAACATGTAGACATCGCCGGCGGGTGCATTGTACTCGAGTATTTCTTGGATGGCGTGAATTGCATTCTCGGGGTATAAGTTTTGAGCGGCCTGGCTGGCAGCGCTGTGCTTCCAGTAGATGTCGCCGCGGTGGTTATTGAAGTCCAGCCCCAGAGAGCTATGCACGGAGGCAGCTTTTGTCCAACCGCATAATTGATCTTTGCCCAGTAAGGAAAGCTCGAAGTACTTGGATACTAAGGCGTTGCTCAGGATGGCGGGGTAATAGGTCGTATATTTGGTGACGATGGCGTAGTCGAACGTGTTGTTCTCATACAGGTCTTTGAATGTGATCGTTTCGCTGCTGAAGCCGACGTAATGGAGGCATTTAGTAGGCTTGGTGTGGATCTCGACGTTGTCGGCTCGAGGTATGGTTTTGGCGAAGAGTGAGGTAGGTAGAAGTAATAGGAGGAGAGTAGACATCAAGAACATGATTGCGATGCGAGATAAGAAGTCTTGAGGTAAGTGATCGGATGCTGCCTGCTATCGGATGTTTGACCGTAAGAGCTGCGGCGCCGGAAGAATGGTGTGGCGTAGTGAGAGTAGAAGTGATGAGCGCGCGATATCTTATAAGCAACCATGACAGCATGCAGCTTCCGCAAATTAGGAGTGGAAACGAGGGTCGAGGTGTTGTTGTGGTAGCCAGAAGGTGAGAAGGTAGCAGCGATGTTCGCACGGTGCAGTCGCGATCGTCCACTGACGATTAAGCTGTTAGCACGAATAGTAAGACGTCTCAGCACAGCGTTGGCAAAGCATAGCAAGGGAGCTACATACTAGTAATAAGTTAGCAAGATATCTTAAGAGCTATTCGTGGCGACTACTTTACCCTGGGACCAGGAATACACGAGGCTGAGTATTAAGATACAAGCTCTTGATACGAGGTAACGAGGCGAATGCTATGAGCTGTGAAGTATACCAAAGTCTGCAGGTAGACTAGCAATCTCCAAATGAATTGCAACTTCTCCGACCCATTAACCCAAGCGTGCAACTAAGTCTTCCACGATACCCCCCATCTATGAGTCAGTCTTTTCATTCATCCCACATGACAACCAGGCCTCGGATGCCTTGGAAATAATTGAACACTATCGTTGAAATCGAACCAGGCGGTACACGGACGGTAGTGCGGAAGTTGAAACAACCGTAACATGCTATTTCTGATAGCATGTCTGCGGCATACAAGTCCATATCCGGGAAATCAAGAACAAACTCAATATTTGGAAGTGCTCGTATCAGTCTTTTGAAGGCAGACAAGAGAGGTTCGTTACCAGGTAAGCTGAGTTTCGCATAAATCGACGTTGATCCGATCAAATCCCAGCGTGTGATGTATATTTTCCGGTAAAAGATGTATAATATCTTGACAATGCGCTCGTCCCATCTTGTCAGCGCAATTTGAATGGGTATTGAGGCTGCGAGTGCTTGCTTTCTCTTTATGATCTCGATGACCTCGATGTGTATTTGCCGACACGTACTAAGGAGGGCGATTCCCACTTGAGCGATTTGAAGAGACAAGCCGGGCTTTTTTGTAGCAAAGATCTCTCGACATTCGTGGCGGAAGACTTCGTTAGGGATGTGCTCGTATACCATCAGCCGGAGTTCGGCTGGAAGGTCGAGAAACCTGAAGGTATCGGGACCGGGAGAGGGCAGGCGCGACATTGTTGTTGTATATAGCTCGAAAAAGCTTGAGGGTGTTTGGAAGCAAAAATGAGAGGTGTTCGAAAGCGAAAGATGCAAGAAAGGTTTGATGCAGATATTGTAGCTGTGTGTAATCGAAAGACTCTGGTTCTCGTATGCTGACGCCCGTGGTTGAAGCGACCCGTGCCGACTAATCGTCAACTTACTAACATCACTATGACCCTAGCAGCCCTGTCATAGCAGCGACCATTCAAATCCCAAGATGCCATACGGTCGATAGGATAACTCAGAGCTCGGTCCTTTGTCTAGCGTACCCTAAAGATCTACGATCTACTTGCGAGCTTGCGCGGTTGACCTTTGGGTTTCGGCGCTGAAGTAGACTCCGTGGCATCACCGTCAGGCTTTGAATCCAGTTCCTTCTCACGCTGAGCCAGGGCCTTTTCTCTTTCGTCTAGCTCTGCCTGTCGTCGATTAAGATCACTCTCTCGTTGGTCGAGTTTCTTTTCCCGGTCATTCTGGTTATCCGCGTTTTGCGTATCGGGTTTCTCGCTTGCGTTAGATGCTCCACCAGCATCATTACGCATACTGTCCGTCTCGACTGATTGTGGTTCGCTATCATCTTGCTTCGCATTCAGCTTCCGTGGCTTCTTGCGACCTTGAGTGTCGCTCTTTTGTGCTGAATCTCCGCTTGGTGACTCTTCAGACTGATTCGCACTGGGCTTTGAGTCCGAATCTCCGCCCGTTGCTTGCGCACCAGCCTTAGCTGCGTCTGACACCTCTTTCTGGTCTGGCATCATGCCCCTCGCACTCTCCATCCAACCTTCATCTGCCTGACCTCCACCTCCCTCACTCTTGAACTTCTCAAGCTCTTCAGTCCCGGGCATCTCTTCTTCGTTAGCTTGTCCCATCATCTTTTCCAGCGTCTTCTTCTGCTCTTCGCTCGCTGCCCATTGCGGGAGGAAACTAGTGAGCTTCTTCATTCCCTTCCCTGCTACTTTGCCCATGTTTACCCATGGGCCGTGAAGCGCACCTGTCGCTCCACCTACTCCAGCACCTATCCCACCAAGCAGAGTTGAAGAGATGCCGCCAACCAAAGTCCCGGTGATAGCGCCCAAAGTGGCACCAGGCGCGACACCAAGGCCTGTGCCCATTGCCATGCCCTGGAAAGCGCCCGAACGAAGATATTTTGCGGTCTTTCCAAATGACTCAGCCTCGATGTGTGCATTTGTAGCTTCTTCTGTCAGCCTTTCCCGTTCGTCCGGATCGCTGGCCGCAGCTGCTGCATCCTTCAATTCTTTGGCTTTCTTTTGCGCGGCGAGGGCAGCATTGGCGGCTTTCCCAGATTCTTGCCGCACCTCTTCTTCGGAAACGGCGGGCTTGTTAGACTCTTTGTTCTCTTCATCTTTCTTGCCCCCATCTTTGTTCAACTTTTTAGGAGGCATGATTGTTAGTTGATTTTCTCGGAGTTGTGGCGGCTGCAGGGTATCCCCTGGTGTACGTCATTGACGCTAGCTTCCCCACTCGAGAACCTGAATTGGACGCGTTCAGGACGCGCTACGGCCTTTGCATGTTTTCAACTGCACACGCGTGCTACCAGCGTTGTGGAGATGACTTCTATCATAAAGACTATTAATTTATTCGATCCATCGTGATGCAAGGGGAATTGCTTGAGCCGACGATGTTAGTTCCACACGCGAGGTCGATGATGACCTACCTGTTCATCAGTCAAAGGTTCCAGATGGACAGCGCGACTTGTACGCAGTTTTTCATATTGACACAGAACAGGAACTAGCTACTAGGCGCGGCACATGCGACCATCGGTCCGAACAGTCCAGGCTTCGCTGCCAACGCCGACAGTGGCGTAGAATAGACTTGAAGGATCCCATTTCTTCTTGATCGTCAACAACCTGGCGTAGTTCTGGCCCCAGAACGTATCCTGGAAATTCGGTTGACGGAAATCGGCCTCGTTCACGTACGATCCGCTACCAGGTGTTGCAGCCTCAACAAGAGGAATGATTTCGTTCGTCATCTTGTCCTGAGTTGCGAACGCTTCCGACCACGGAGCTGTGAAGTTCCATGGAAGTGTTAAGGTCGCGTGCACGATTGCCTTGCGCCAGGCCGGGTGGACCGACGTTGTTTTCTCCGAACCAAACGCCTTCACATCTGTCCCGACTCCAATCCAGGTCACTCCCTTTTCTACGACAGCCTTCCAGGTTTCGGAGATGTTGCCCACCACACTTCGTGGGATCAAGCGAGTACCGTACTGGGCGATGCCGACCTGAATGTTACCGAGAGGAAGGGGGCCGAAGTACTTGTCGTAGTGCTCATAGTACGTGTCGAACTCGCTATATTCAACGGTGTACTTAACGCCTTTGGAGTCCAGCCTAGCGACGAAAGGCGCAAGCATGGCCTTGACTTCGGCTTCCGTCTTGTTGTAGGCGTTAAGCGGGGAGATCATGAAAAACGAAGACGTGAAGTAATGGACCACCATTGCTCCGGCATCTACCATGGCAGGCAGCTCTTCGTGGAACGCTTGGATAGCATCATAGAACACGTCCTGGTCGTTGTCCGTGGTGAAGAACGACAGCGAAGCGCCGCCGAAAACAGCTTCCTTGTGCGCTTTGACAGTCATCCCAACCACAACGCCGTAGGTGCTGCCACCGCCGCCGTTGAGAGCCCAGTACAAATCCGCGTTTTCTTTCGTATTCGCATTGACAAGCTTTCCGCCCGCCGTTACGACTTCCCAGTTCAGTACGTTGTCGGCAGCGAGACCGAAGCTAGTACTGATAGCCGAATGCCCACCACCCTGTGTGTAACCGCCAGCGATGCCAACAGTAGGGCACTCGCCTCCAACCACGACCAAGCCTTTGTCTCGGGAAGCAGCCATTAGTTCGAAACCTTGAACGCCGGCACCAATCTTAAAAGCCGGGCCATTGTATTCTGAACCCTTGAACGTCGGAACATGGGTGATTTCCTTGAGATGGTGTGTCCACACCGCTAGCGAGCCCGCGCCTGTGGAACGACCGAGATAATCATGGCCCGTGTTGCGGATGACGAGACGGATATTCTTGGAGGCAGCAAACACGATCGCTCGCTGGACGTCTGCAGGCCCGGACGCATCCACAGCGTAACGGACGTAGTTCCCGAGCTCACATGGGCGGTCTCGAGGTTGGAAGGGATCGCAGCTCTGGTTGGCAAAGAAAGGTGCCATTACAGATGAAGACGATTCATAACTGACTAAACGTTAGAGCGACGTCTTCAAAGCACGTGTTTGGAACATACTGGATCTTCTCAAACTGCCAATCCTTCTTCAGACTTTCACAAGTCGCGTCGTCGAAAGTCGGAACGTGGCAGGGAGCTCCGAGTGGTACGGTTGCCACTAGACGTCCGCCTACCGTCTTGTTCAAGCTGTTCCACTCTGCTTGCGAAGGCCATGACTTGTCTCCTGGGAACGATTTGCATTGATTGGGGGTTGGGTTAGCAGAAACGACGCCAAGAAGCGCGAGGACTGGGATGTAGGAACGCATTTCCAGGGCAGAAAAAAAAGATAAAGTTCTGCGACCTGGAAAATGTCAATCTCCCAGACATACGGATTAATATAAACAGAAATTCAGGCTCCCTGCATGCGCCGCGCTTGACAGTGGCGAGCAAGCTAGAGCAGTTGTGGGACTACAAATCTAGTGTCCGGTGGGGTGGACCGTCCCGGGGTGATACCGCGACCCCGTTTTGTGGCCGTGGCGCCGATTGCCTTGGATCTGAGTCTACGCGAAAAAGACCTCTGACAGAGATATGCAGAGGAACACAGGTTGTTGAAGGAGAGCGCGCCTCATCATGAACAAGCGATTGATGAATAGCTGTCGTATCGTCGGAGTCGCGGTGCTGGTGCGGGACGGCGACTTTGCCATCAATTGGAAGCTGGGGCTTGTACTGGACCTTCGGCATCTATCAACAGGGATCGCGCACGCCTTTGCTGCATTGAGAAACCTCCGATGCAGCCGAGCACGTCCACCGCGAGGGCGGGTCGGCGGCTCTCCAGGCGAGATGCAATCGTCCCATATCGTCTTTCTAGACCCTTAAAATTAGGAGATATCTCACCGAGCAGTGCCGAAGCCGTTTCCCGTTACCGTTACCAATATACCTTGGTATTATTTGGTCTAGCTCTAAGAAGAAGGTCTTTTCTTCCGGCCAACACTTGGGCTGCATTGCAACCATGTGCGTTAGCTGTTAGGCTACTATAACTTCGGACAATACTGGGAATATTTACAGGTTTCACCTCGTATGAGAGTCTCCTTTGCTATCGATCAAGGCATGCTTTCCTGACGGGGTTATGATAGACCGGGTAAGAGCCGCGCTGAACCCCACGCGGTTTCGTCCTCTTGGACTGCCAATACGCTGGGAAAGGTCGGAACTGTGTAGACGCTGAGTCGCAATGCCTAGTATTCTGATGTGTTCTCTCCCAGAGACGAAAAGTCTACCACCTCAACCAAAGGAGAGCTAAACACTCTGAGACCTACATTGACGCTACGTCCTCTTATTTGCGCATTGCCGTCCTAACCTAGGCTTCAGGCCTGTTCGGTTTTTAACCTGTGCAAAGTACTATTCAATCCCTATTCTGAACGAAACCGCCGTGAGCAAGCCAGTACGATGGGCTGGACCTACAACACTCCCGATGATATCGCCAACGAGGGGCCGCAAATTACTGCAATCGCAATCGTTTTCACAGCAGTGTCACTGTTGGTTCTGACCCTTCGTTTCTATGTGCGCGGATGCATAACCAAAGCCATTGGAGCCGGTAAGTAACGTGGCATCCAGCTTTTCCTCGACACATAGCTAACGCATCTATCATCGCTAGATGACTGGATACTAATTGTGACCTGGGTGAGCAATTCGGGTCCCTCCTGTAGTTATGGGACTGACAGTCGCGCAGATAGCATCTTGTGGCTTCGCTGTCGTAACTATCATCCGTACGTTGGCTGCACAAGTGCTGTGATATCGAGACTGATGGTGCGATACCAGAAACCAAATGGGGACTTGGACTCAAGCATCTGAAGGATATGCCCGATGAAAACCTCTTCAACTTTGGACTTGTAAGTCTTACCCGCGCAAGTGAACACATTCCAATCCTGACCAAACTAGATACAGTACATGGGTGCACCATTGTAAGACAATAATTGCGACACGACCATACTACGCCTCTCTGACATCCGCAACAGCTACATCACCAGTATACTGGGCTTCAAACTTAGTCTGCTGCTGACCTATCTACGTATCATGCCAAAGGGCGCGTCGCGCAACGCTACCATCACCGTAATAGTCGCGTGCATACTCTTTCACATCTGCTTCCTGGTCGTGCAAACGAACCTCTGCCAGCCGGCCGCGAAACAATGGGACCCTTCCATCACCTGGGGCCAGTGCCTGCCAGCCGTGCCCTTTTACACCAGCATGGCATCTTTGACCATCGTCTTCGACATAGTAGTGTAAGTGCCTCATTCGCGTCTGTCAGCAAAAGCTTACTTCGACAGCATGTTCCTGCCCTTCCCCGTCCTCCTCAAGAGCCATATCCAGAAGCGGAAGAAAGTCGCCCTACTGTGCCTCCTCGCGCTAGGCACATTCATCACGATCATCCAAGTCCTTCGCATCCGAACCGTTCGAAATCTCGCCAACTACCTCGACTCTAGCAGTCTCATTATGTGGTCGACTGTTGAGAACAACTTGGGTATCATCGTCGCGTCGGTACCGACACTGGCACCCCTCTTCAAGTCATTCGTTGAGAAGACACAAAAGAGCTCATATGGGAACTCGGCAACAAGATCAAAATCTTTGTACGCCCTAAGGTCGAGACGCAGTACCAGGCAAGGTTCTATCCCGCTTGGGAGCGGTGTCCATCAAGCGACGCATGTATCTGGGCCTTTTGAGAGAGGAAGCGAGGAATTCATAATGGGCGATGTTGCTGCTATAACAAAGAGAACCGAGGTGACTGTTTCTTCTCGTGTCCGGGAAGATTTGAGCAGGCCAAATAATTAGTCACTGTCTTCGCATTTCGTTCAATATCATACTAGTGCAACGTAGCAAAGCTCGCATCTACAACTGGTTAATCCACCATGAACAATTTATGCATATCTGCGTCGTGTTTAGTCTAGAAGTCGCAATCGTAATGCTCTGTTGCGGGGAAGCGTCGCCTTCGATGAGTACAGAAGGCGCAGTGCCTAAAACGAGAAGACTTCCTCAGCACATGTTGGGCAGGCACACAGGAGCGTTCGGCGCCGCGCAGCAGTGCTGAGCAAATGACGCGCTTTCTCGACTCAAGAGAGGCTTAGAACCTTGCGCAACAAACGTTCTGAGCCTCAACACCGTCGTCCCGCTTTTCCATTTCCCACGAGCCATACCTACTGTACCGTCCTTGCGTTTCGTAGCGTTTTTCAGTTTCGTACCATTCCGTTTCAAATCACACAATGCAGTGCTGCCAGCCGTCCCTCGAGTTCCTGCGCGTCTTCGTTGACCATCCTCGCATACCGATAGAGGATAAGGAGGCGATGCGGAGGCAGATTGCCTGCCTAGAAGAGGAGGAAGACACTATGCAGTACAACCCTGAGGCTTGCTACCTCTCACCTAATGCAACAGAGTCGTCTGAATGTGAATCGCCGCTCAAAAGACGAGCTGAGCGTAGCCCTGGTGGCGAACCGCGGTCACCTAAGAACGTGCATCTACGTGGAGGGGGTGGCACCCCAGTGAAGCCAAGATGGCGCATATATGATCACGAAAATGCGATCACAGGTCGCAATCTTAAAGCCGACGACAAACAACTGCCTGGAGCTTTGCGTCGCGATGAGCATGATCCGCCAGTGACAATAGCCGATGATGCCTCCGCAAGCGCAAAGGCGCTTTACGAAACGACTGAAAAAGTTGTTGAATTCTTCAAGACGGCCTTCGGGCACGAAATCGGCGTGGGTGACAAACCATTGGTGGCTTCATACCACTATGGTATGAATGAAATTGGAGGCGCTTGGAAGCCAAAAAGATCTCAGGCTGTCTTTGGTGATGGCACTAGAGTCTTCAACAATGCTGCCCACTGCAGTGACCTGTAAGCTTTGAGTTTCCTTTCTCTTCTACTATATCATCTATCATTATACATTATACTGCATTAGTATAAGAACTGTTTTACTTGTAGTATGTTAAACAAGTATAGGGTTACGCATGAACTTGCACATGGAATTATCCTACGCATGTTAGGGTTTCGTACTGGCCTGATTAGTGCACCAAATACATCCCGTGTAGGGGATGAGGGCTCTGCTCTTTGGGAGCATTTTGCCGATTTTGTGGCACTTCTAAAGATGATGTACGACGATAATTCGGCTTCGAATTATCTCATTGGCGCGAGTTTTTTTCACCCCAGCTTGGGTTGTCTTGCATTGCGAAATGCACTAAATCCTGGACATGCGTGGAGATATATTCACGATGACGGCAAATTGCGCTCCGATTCTGGAGTGGGACATGTATGCAAACAGCACACGGCTGTAACATACTACGATGTTTCGCTTATTCCAACTAGAGCGTTTGTTTTGTTTAGTCAAAAAATTGACTACAAAACTGCTGGTCAGATCTGGTGGCTCACGATAAAGAGTCTCAAGCTTAATGGAGAAGAGAGCCTGATGATTACTATCTCCGAATTCGCAAAGCAAACTTTGCGAGCGGCTATAGATCTTAATCTCCAAAACACCAGGAATCCCCTTCTGGAATCCTGGGCGATGGTGGGCATTGTCAACGTGTAATGCCAACCCGGCGGACGTTGCTTTGCGGAAGCTGCATGCTGCCATGGATCCTACAATTATCGCTTACTATAACGCAGTTGATTGGGTACGCCACCTAGTCCGAGCACAGATCATAGCGAATGCGAGTGTATATGTTCCATGGTACTGCGATGACGCAGAGCGAAACGAGCCACTTACAACTTCCGCAACATCGACGACCCAGACGAAAAGATACTCTCACCCATGAGAGAAACCGCAAGTATAATATACTGCCGAATGTATATATATACCTCACTCCAGTCTTCACAAGGCTTCACTCAATTCTTTACCCAACATGCAATACACAAACACACACCCATCCATGGCCGACATCAAAGCCCCGTCAGACAACGCCATAATTGTCGATCGAGAATGCTACTGGGATTGCTTCCCAGAAGAGGACGCAGAAACACAAGAGTTCTACAGACAATCAATAGAACATCGCGGTCCCGACCGACACCGTGAGCCCGGAAGATACTTCCCAGTTATCCGAGTCCCGGCAAGCCAACTATTGCAGCCTCTCTCAGTCAGATCTGTATACGAGCATTGGTGTGAAACCGGTAAGATTGCGACAATACAACCAGGTTATACCGAAATAAATCTTGACACCAAAACGATGCTGGCCGCCTATCGATTCGGCCTTGAAATGAGCCGCGCGCGGTGCGCCGACTTTCGCGACGCCATCATGGATGCACTAGCTGAGAATTTCGACGCGCAAACAGGCTCTGATATAGGCTTGTTTCATGGCGTCTTCAAAGCGGTGGAGAACGTGCCTAATTCCAACCTGGAACGCCTTCTCGCCTTTCATATCGCGCTGAGCACGGATCCCGGATGCTTCAACTCCATCTTGGCCAGAACAAACAAGCAATTTTTGCACCACGTCCACGAACAGATAAAGACATTCCCCAAAGGAGTGCGCTACTACGATATCTGGGACGACTTCATGCTCAACAACCGCTGCAAATTTCATGAGCATCCGACCGGAAGATGCTGGAGGCCGGCAGAATCGGGGCCCGAAGTCGCGCCACCGGAACATCCAGAGGCGGTGGCAAGGCGGGCACGGATGTGGAAAGCAAAGGAGGTTGAAGAGGTGGATCTTGGGGACATTGACTGGTTTAGGCTCTAGGGCTAGCCAGGTTAATGCATCAAAATCTCTTCAATCTTTTCCTGACTTCGATCATAGCCAACTACAAGGGGTTCTCATGTTGCGGGGAGGAGTATAATACAATAGCGCCGAGGTTCTCACAGTTATTCTGCCTAGGCGAATGCTTTACAGAAATCTCCACGTATTCCTCAAGCCTGCTTATGCACTTTCTTTTTTCGCACTTTCGCTGTAACGTAGGCGCCTGGGTACTTGTCACGGAGGCAGGTTTTGGACGTGTGTAAGCCAGCAAAATGAGACATCGCAAACATTACGGACAGGCAGATTGAATCAGGTGATGAATCTCGCGCAAGGCAGAGGATAGTTCAGTGTAAGCTGGAAAAGATAGCATAATGGGTATGTAGGCGCAAAGATCTCGGTCAGGCCGGAATAGTGATGAAAGCTGCAGAACAAACGTAAATCGTGGCGTGTCGATGCAGTCAGAATACCGCGCTGGATATTTGAATGGGGAAGTGGGAAAAGCGCCGCTATTACAAACATACGGTCGTTACAAGGGCATGATTGGAGGCATCGGGCAAATCGGTACAACGCCTCTACTGGCAGTCACAGATGCGTATCCTTCTTTGATCTGATGAAGTTAGCGATGATCCCGCGACATTTCGGATCTCCCCTCATACCCTATCGAAATGGGTGGTGGTCCGGAAAGCGCCACCATTTGTTTCAGGCCCATCGCTCCAATAAAGGCGTCTCAACCACGCGTGAAGACGCGGATAGTCCAAACGTATCATCTTCAAGTTGCATTTGAAGAAGGGATAGTACGCCACGTCGAAGCGGATGAGCGTTGTGTACAAGCGAACGTCGGCCTCGGTGATATGTTGCCCAAAAAGGTAGGGGTAGTGCTTGGGTTGTGAAAGATGATCCTCCAGACGATCCAGCGACTGGAAGAGCTTGCTGACATGTTCATCATAGGATGCCTGCGATGTCGCGAAGCCGACCTTGTACACGCCGTTGTTAATCGTGTCGAATACCCATAAGAGAAGGCAATCCATCTCTTTCAGAATATGCGGGGGTCTGAAGGCAGCCACACCCTTGTTGACCTCGCGACGCTCCGGAGGAAGAAGAGGGTCGAATGCGTCGAACAGGATGCGGATGATGTCGGCGCTATCGTTGTTGACGGCAGTACCTAAACGATGTTAACCCACAATCTGTTTCTCCAACCTTCAAACTTATTTACCCTGGCGTTGATCCCACAGCAAAGGGATGGTGATTCTCCCGTTGAAGCTTGGATCTGCCTTCAGATAGATCTCTTTCAGGCATCTCGCGCCAGACACGGGGTCTTTCTTGGGCCCGCTACGCCCAGAGAAGAACCAGCCATGCGATGCGTCCCTTGCATCGACCTCCACCAACTCTATGACATCCTCGAGCCCCTTCAAAGCGTGTACGATGGTTGTTCGGTGTGCCCAGGGACAGACGTAGTTGATGTACAGCACGTATCGGCCCTTTTCGACAGGGAAGCGCTCGGATGGTATGGTATGTCGGAACTGCGAAGGCATATGGTTCCACTGCCCGTTGGCATCAACAGTGTAGCGAGGTATTAGCTATGCAGAGAGGTCAGTAAGCGTGGGGTGAGCACGCCCAGGAGAAGTCTGGAGAAAAAATGCCTAATCAAACCTTCGAAACCATCATAGCCGGTGGCTTTACGACTCCCTCGCTGAAGCTACGCAAATTAACTCCGAGTACATCTTGTCCGCAGAGGACAATGCCATAGCGCTGTTTTAAGGGAACCAGCTTTTTCCATTGTAACCTGGTGATTACAAAACAGTAGGAGGCGGGCAAGGGCGACTCTGATTAGTATAGCACACCGTACGCGAGCGGCAGCTTCTTCGGGTTGGCGAGCTGCCAAGTGATTACCGAAGCGCATCAGGCGCTCCGACAAGCCCTGTGGCGATGGTGTTACAGATGGTCGATGGTTTTTGTCAAATATCAGAATGGCTTCATTGCGATGCGGTCGACGAGGGCATGTGAGGGTTGAGCTCGTGCCATGCATCCCGCCGATCAGCCGAGGCCTGCTTAAGCGATGGTTTAGCTTCAATGCGGCGCACGCGATCCGTCTGTCTTCCTCAACCACCCAACCTGCGTCGCACAGCGTGCAGCTGTACTTCCTTTTTGTGATGTCTATTACATATCCCGATGACACCGACGCCTGCGATGGGTAGAGCTGCCGCTGGTGTAGCGAACATGACTGGCATCGTATTTATGCGACAGCAGGAGATGGAATCGCGGAATCTCGGCCGTTCAGTCATCACGCTCCTCCACAACAATCTCTCAGAGCGCGCGCGAGATGCGATTGGCTACCACGTTTCATAAAAGCACCGCTATACGAAGTACGCGTTGTTCACATCCCCCGAACATACCCGTCGGAAGGAAGCGGTCGCACCACTGTTAGCTTGTATACGTCAGTACAAAGACTAGCCTCCTAGCACTGCCTGTGCTTAATGGACGTCGGTTGGAAGCGCGACACGTCGGCTGGATTCGCGAAAGGCCTTGAACGCAACGCGTTCGAGAGCATCACATACATGGCATGGGGCTGAAGGACGCGTCAAGTTTTCATCGTCGCATCCTCTATACAATTGCCAAGAGAAACGTCACCAGTCATCGTGCGAGCTGAGCTTCTCAGACTCGGCCTATAGAGCAATCTGCGGCTCTTCGGAAGGACACAGTTGACCGCCATCGCAGCAGGTCCGAATCGCGACGTTCAGCAGGACATGCACACGTCTTTGCACGATGACAGTGAAGTCAGGCTAGACTGCTGTTTCTCGCTGCTGCGTCAATGGAACAGTACGTGGTTCGGGCTCATACATAACCCTTGACATGGAGGTTTACCTTCTTTCGCGAGAACTTCATTCCCTCTCTTTGCTCTAGGCCTTTGATGCTTCTGACGTGCAGTCCATGCAAACTTGGCCAGAGTCACGATTCTTTCGCAAATGACGATCAGAGAACCTGAGTGCTGATCTTTTGCGAAGATCTGGCTTCCCAGCGGCTATATTGAGCAACTAACGAAACGCTTGCCGCGGCTCAACTCATCACCAAATTATTTACCGAAGTATCATCCGAGACTCTTGGTCCCCACTAACATGCATTCGATTTCCCCAGGTTTTCTCCTCAATCAGTATTTTGCCAATCAACCATTAATCTACTTCGGTCTCCTTGGCGGTCTTCCCCATCTATTCGAGTATCGTCAATGGGTCAGATCGACGACGCCGCGGCAAACCTGACAGAATGGGCTTTGCGCGAAGGACTAGCATTGTTCATACGCATACCGCTAGAACTTCACATATAAGATGGGTGTATGAAAACGCCTGTCGCTGAAATAGCAACCACGACTCGATGACCCACCTGGACTTGCTGCCGATATGCTAAATTCCGCCCTGCTCTCGCTGTTTGGCCTTGTGCCCAGCGTCTTGAATGTCGCTCTGGCACAGACGTTCACGCCCGCACCTGGAAACTTCCCAGCTAAAGGTGATGGCGACTTCGCAGGCGGTATCTTCTCCATATCCCTCTCTGAGCTACCCAAATATACCGGCGCTGGTGGAACCGGCCCTGAGTCCCCCAAAGGAAATGGCGCGAAGACGTCTGGCTCGGGACCCTACCCAGCGCAAATGTTGACCGACTCTACACTACCGAGACACACCATCTTCGCACCCAAGAACCCTCCGACTGGCAACCTTAGTCTCCCATTCATCGCATGGGGTAACGGCGGATGCGGTCTCAATGCCGGCATCTACGAGCGGCTGCTGGTAGAGATCGCCAGCTATGGATACGTTATCGCTGCAGACGGCACACCCGATGGCTCCGGATTTCAGGCTGGTCAACAATCCAAAGTACAAGATATGCGCGACTCTCTTGACTGGGCATTCGCCGGCAAAGCGAAGAAATACGGAAACGTCGACTTGACTAAAGTCACAACGGCAGGCCATAGCTGTGGAGGTCTCGAGTCCATGTCGACAGCGTACCACGATGACAGAGTCAAGAGAATCATGCTCTTCAACATTGCTATATTCCAGGATGACAGGAGATACCTACTCAAAGAGCTCAAGGTGCCTATGGTGTACTTGATCGGAGGACCGAAAGATATGGGGTATAACACGGTGAGTCTACCTTGAAGACCAGACAGATTCCGGTCTCGATCAATGCTAATTCTCGATAGTCGGAGAAGGATTACGCTCTCCTCAACACGGGTACTCCCAAGTTGAGGGCCAACCTCGATACTGGCCACGACGGCACCTTTGCAGCTACGAATGGTGGAAAACAGGGCAAAGCGGCTGTCGCGTACCTGGAATGGCAGTGGAGGGGCAATGCGACTGCTCAGGCGTACCTCCTTGATGGCGGTTTGGAGAAGGATAACTGGGTTGAAGAGCATGCGAACTGGTCTTGAGATGCAGTTGTTGTTGGCGTGACAGACGGATCATAGTGACAGAACTCGCTGTGTACACACGCTAGGCGGAAGACATCTATGCGCAAAGAAAGTGGAAGCCCTTTGGAGCATCAGCATTGTACCGGTGAACAATCCTGTGGTGGCGCGTTTCTCGAGCTGTGGTGCGTTGCTAGGCGGAGGCTGTGAGCTGCAAAGCTGAACGAACACGAGGTCAAGTGTCTAGGCAAGGCACATTCATCGATCAACAAATGCGCAAGTGTGAATATAAATATGTGAAATGCAGAACATACACGCAAGGGATAACACTGCAGCATTGTTCGACTCTGGCAGTGCATGCACAAGAGTCGCCCAGAGCCCACGTCATCGCCCTCACCTGGGCACCCATAGCAACCAGCGACCAACGCCAACGCCAAACGGTTCAACCAGGCACGCCCATCCCTAGCCCTTAAACCGCCTAACTCAGTCGGTATCCGTTCTCGCCCTCTATTAATATCCACCAGCGCCGCTACAGTGTGGTTGCCGGGTTAGGCACAAACCCTGCAGAAGCGAAGAAGCGGGCTGCGCGGCGGGGACGCGACTGGGCAGTTTGGCAGGCTTGCGGGATCCACCAAGCAGTGAGGCTGAGACTCGAACCGTGTCTGACATCGACGCTGCGCCCTTCCATTGTTGTCCGAGGAGACTACGACATTCTTTCGCGGTTCTGTTTTCGCATCTCTTTACGCACACGAATTCAAGACGTTGTTTGTTGTTTAGCAATTTGCGTGACGCAGAGAGCAGACTCGGTAGAACCGGAGGCTACCTACCCGTATTGACGTATCCGCTGTCTGTTTACGCTCACTCTTCTGGCCTTTCCGCGCCCTTCCACGCATACTACGACTTTGAGATCGGGGACATAGACACGTCCACACAAGATGCGGATACCGCAGTCGTATATCCAGAAGTGCAAGGTGGTGGCACATGTCTTCCAGGCCATCTTCGTCTTCATAGCCGCGTGTCTTACCATCGCTGTTATGACCAAGGATGGCCCCGTTGAGGGACCTACAAAGTACTTCTTTGCTATGGTAAGTTGCACTCTGTCCTTATTATACAGTATCATTTTCAAGATGGTCTCTTACGTCAATATGGACATGGCTGACAAAGGGTTGCTCGCAGTGCTTCGTCTCCATTCCCGCCATAATCTACCTCACAATGGTACCCATGTGGTCGCGCGCCCAACGCTTCGCCTCCGCCTACGCTTTCCTCGCCGTCGACGCTTTATACACTATCCTGTGGTTCGCCGCCTTCATCTCGGTGGCCATGTGGAACGCCCACGGTATCAAAGAGGGAGCCAAGAAGGAGAAGATTGCAGATGACGACCGCAACTGCACAACATTTTTATACGGAGATGAGGCCAAGTGCAAGGTCAGCAAGGCCGCTGTAGGCGTCGGTGTCATGGTCTTGTAAGCACCCTTGCAACCCCGGTGTCGAACGAACAAGAATGTCTACTAACCCTCATACAGCCTCTTCTTTGCCATCACAACCGGCGTATCCGGCTACTACCTCCACAAATACCTCCGCGAGGGCGTCATGCCCTACCAATCCTCATCAGAAAACACACACTACGCCTCCGGCGACTCCGCCTACAACAACCCGAAAGACGCAGCCTGGTCGACCGAGATCGAAACCGCAAACGGCCGCGACTCGTCAGACTCGCTCGATCGCCGCACCGACCGCGGCGGAAACCAAGAAGAAGACGAATACGCGTTGCTGCACAGCACAGAAACGGATGAGGGTAGGCACCCAGGCCGGCCGCTGAGTTGGGGCGAGGATAGGAACGGAACATATGGCAGCGGTGGCAGGGGAGCTGTGCCTCCGTATGCAGAGTACAGAGACAGCAGTGCGAGCATAGCTGCCGGCGTGGACGCGTTGAGTCCGGGCGGATATGAAGAATTTAGAAGGGAGGCTGCTGCGGGGCCTCTTGGTAGCATGGGTATGGACAGAGCGCCCAGCCACAGCGGGAGTGGTTATAGCTTTAGTGGTGGGCCGGAGCGGTTGAACTAGAGGTAGACTGTGGATAGGACAGTAACGTCGCATTGTTTCTGCATATGAGCGCTTCTTTTGCTTTCGAGCTGTTAGATC